GCAGAAAGTTCTTGGAGTGTAACATTGAGTCAAATTCTGTTTTCCACAAACTTGTGCCCACTGATCCTACTTTTGTCTTCTGTAATTTCACACAATAAAGCTAAACTTCTCCTTAGGATATTTTATCTTATAGCAGTTTAACACCTATTCTGTCCCTCTTTTTATTTCTTTGCTTAAAGCATCTCGGTTGTAAAGCTATGCTTTATATAGTATCCCTATCTGCATTTAAAAATGTCATGTATGTATGCAGCTTCCATGTGACATTCAGAACTGAATTCAGTCTTGTAAATGTGGCCGGTGTTGAGGATAATGGAGCATCTTTGATTTGGATACTTAACCACGTGTTTCTATTGTTCTATATGTATGTAATTTATTTTATGTCAAAATGCAGACTTAATTCTTTTAAGTTGATTTTGTAATTTAACATGCTGATTTATCCTTCCTGTTTTATACGTAGATTTGACATAGATTTGTGTGATCTACACTCCAGTATATAAACCGTGGAATAAGACAAGGTGAAATGCCGAGTTCTGTTAATTACCTCCAGAATTCTTCCACTGGTGTGAAGAATTGACTAGGAAAGTACTTCCATCCAAGTACTTAATCTCTGAAGTATGTTGAGCGGTCAGCTAGGAGTGAGCCTAACTGGGGTATGGGGCTCACGTTGCCCTGTTTTATTCTTAAGGATGTCACCAGAGACTTGCTGTGCAGCCTTGCTGAAACCAAGGCGTCCCAGGTCTATGACATTCTCCTGGTCTAACGTCCTAGCAGCCTTACACTCAGTACACACAGTGTGCATTGTGTACTCCTTTTTTGTGTTCAAACTTGACAGTTGTGGGATCTACACAACTTTTTTTTTTCTTTTTGGAAATTGTGGCAACATTTGCTAATATGTTTTTTGATAATTTCCTACTTTTCTCTAATTTTAATATATTATGAATAATGGTTCAATAAATAAATCTCTAAGTTCTTTTAGTATCATAAAATGATGTTGTTCCTTTTGTCATTGCTGAGTAAAAAAAGGAAAACAAAAAGATGTTTTCTGAACCAGAAGACTTGAGTATTTGTAAAAATGTCAAGATGTTTTTATTACTTCCTATTTATACTAGGAGAAATCATATGTCATCTTCATCAATTATTGGTATACTTTATGGCAAAAACTTAATTCAAAACTCTAAATCAGTATGACAGAAAGGTCTTAACTGACTGGTAAAACTCCCCTGGTACCATAGCCTTTAAATAATTTTTCTGTTAGTTATGGAAGCTTAATTTTTTTCCTCAGTTTTATATCTCTTGAAATTCATACCATTTAAAGAATAATAAGCCCTGGTTTTTAATAAAAGAAATAAACAAAACTTCCACTCTGATTTATTATTTGTTATTAAAATGGGCTGGAATTCAAAATGATAAAAGTACAATTGGAGGGTTTTTACTATAGTGTTCACATTTTTCTATCAAAAATTTGGTTATAGTTTTCTACGGACACTACATTTGTATAAAGAACTCTGTGATAGGCTATTTCTGTCCATGGGATTCCAAAATTATAGACACTGATGTCAATGCAGATGAGGTTAGCCTAATTTGGTCAAGAGAGGGACGTGCTAAGTCTCTATATGGATAGCTAACAGCTATTGCCAAGATTGACAGGTGTCCTGTGGGTGGCAGAGAGCCCCAGGGATAAAATTTGCTCTTGGATTACTCCTCTAAGAGACAATGATCAAAGTCATACCTTTTTTCTATTAATCATACTCATAAAATAGTGAGATCTACTTTTAACTTTTCAGATATTATTACCCTTATAAACCCCAGAAAGGTAAAAAAGTTTTATACTTTTTTCTTATAGTATCAAATTCTATTTTTGAAAATTTAGCTGTACCCTGTGCATTAATTTTTCTAGAATAGTCAACTGATTTGTTGTTACTTTGTCATGTTTCATTAAGATTTGAAACTACAAAAACAGTTAATGTAAAAGAATACGTTTGTTATTAGTGTAAAAGAGGCAACTATTTCTTTATAAAATAACAAATTACATGATTCAACTCTGGAAAGATTAATTTTTAGAAGAATTTTCTAAGAAATAAGCATAATATTATAAAAATTTTCTTACTAATTTGATAACAGCTCTTGTTTTTATTCTATCTTATTGAAACTTTATTATTATTAGGAGAAGACTAATTATCAATGTAATTAGTACTAAATATATCATATCTCAAAATAAGAAAAAGTTTAACAGCCATTAGATTCATGACATTGAGAAGCCTGGGCATACTGCTTTAGGAAAAACTGTATTGCCTAAGATTTTTCTAAGATTTGACTGATGTAAATGTGCCATTAGCAACAAAGACTCTACGACTTGAGGCCTAAACCCAATAGCTGTTTCTATTCAAATAGGAAATTTTCTGACGTTGGAGGACCGTATCTTGATTATCTCTATATTACAGTCTCAGATGTACAGTACAAATTCAAGAAGTGAATGCTGGAGGAATTGTATTCAGGAGCCATCCTGTTAGCCTTTCCTGCTAGGAGTCAGGGAAGGTTTCTTAGGCCACTTGACAAGCATAGCTCAAGTTCCCCTCATGGACCCTTTTGATTGCAGTTAGGTCTAGAGTTAAGGTGAAGCTAGCATGGTTAGGGTATTGTCATTTATAGGTCTTAAATACAGTAGTAGTTAATTCTGATTCAGCCAAAATCTGTTGCGAGCCCACTGTGAGCTAGCTGTTGTTTTACAGATACCATTGAACTCCCATAAAGGGGAGGAAAATAAGGTGCAGAGAGGTGGTGATTTGCCCAGGGTCACTCAGCTCCTGGGCGGATAGCTGGGAAAGAAACCTAGCCTCTCATCTCCAAGCCCAGAAAGGTTTTGAGATGGCAGAAATAATCTCAACAGAAATTCATTTAAATGAGAGAACTTTTAGGGCTGCATTTCTTACTGTCTCTTTTTTATTCTGTGTCTCAATTCTGATTCTGTAAGTACTGTACCAAAAATAGCAAACGTGACTCTTTTTGAGCAGTTGATTGGAAGGAAAGTGTGAAAACAAGAAGAGAAACATCCCTGGGCTAAAACATCATGGCAGTGGGCTGACTCGGAGTATGCAGCCTGGGCTAGAGTGACAGAGAATGACCTCAAAGCCCAGGTTAGCCTCCAGTCCAGGCTACATGGCCTCTTACAGACGACTGCCAGCTTTTCGTTTGAGTCCTGGGCTAAGATACACTCTGCTGCTCTGGCCCATGCCTGGGCATCCTTGAGTTTGGTTGCTGGAAACTTACTAATCAAAGACCTGGACATTCTCATGTCAAAATTAGTCTCATGACAAAAGTAAAAAATGTTATCTGGATTTTTGCAAGGATTAGCATTATACCTTGTTAATTCTGAAGCAAGAAGTGAAGTTTATGGCCATATGTTATGAATGAATCCAATTTTTAGGAAAATTTTGATATAGACCTATACATTTAATTTACGCTTAACTTTGACAGTTCTACAGTTAACTTTTAAATAAACTCTTTGTAGTGAGGATTGGATAATGAAAATAACATTAGTAATTGAATGATTTGGGCTCTTTTGAAATATTTTAGAACCATCATTTGTGTACATCGATATGCAGATGACTTTGACAGCTGGGTTACCCACTGAGTGTGTCTCTCCCAGCAGCCCAGACTGTCCCCACCTCCCTCCTAGACCTCTGCCATGGTGGCCTAACTGCCCATCCAGCCCCTACCCCACTTACCTATACTTGATGGAAGTGGTCTTTTTGCCAAAGTTCTTTGGCAGGGTGGGATTAAGAGAGGACATCTTCAGGTGGCCTCTGGGGTGGCCCCTGCAAGGTCGGACCTCTGTTCCCCAGTGCTGCAGCCTCATGTGGCTCCACCTTCCCGCACTCTGAGCCAACCTGGTCTTTCTCTCTTGTACTTGCCTTACTTGGTTTTGTCTTACCCCTCAGCCCGGGCACCTGCCCTTCTCTCTGCACAAATCTATCTTCTTCATGTTCTTTCCCCATCATGTTTCAGCTCAGGGACATTTCAGGGACTCTGGAAGAAGTCCCTCACCTTTTAACTAGACGAGGCTCAAGTTTTGTTGGCAGTTCCCATCTCTGATTCATTGCACTTGTAACTATTGCAATTTTGTGTTTATTTGCATAATTGGATTAATGCAGACTCTAAACTGCAAGTGCCACAGGGCCAGAGCCTTGTCTGCCTTTACTCAATGAATATATTCCTGCTGTCGAGCATAGGGCCTGGTACGTAATAGCAGCTTAATATATATTTGCTGAATACTTGAACGAAAGTTTCACAAAAGGCTTTTTCTCGGCGATATTACCTGCAGCCTGCTAGCTTCTGTGAGAGGTCATGAAGAGGATGAATAGAGGCTCACTTTGTTATAGGAGAGCTCACTCACAGCCCTGAGAACAAAATGTGTACCAAAAATGTCATATAAGCCAGATTGCAATTAGCGCTTGAAAATCATGTACTTTTAATTATTTGAAAATGCATGATTAGACTGGCCTTTGTCAATAAAGCCAAAATGAGTGAATTATAATGTTAAGTAGCACAAACAATATGATAATGACAACCTCTAACATTCATAAAGTAATCCTAGCTCCAAAGGAAATAAAAAGTTGAAAAAATTCAGTGTTAAAAATTGAAAAGATAGAGTAAAATGCATTAATATTTTTAAGTGCTGGGATATTATGCCTGTGAAACTGGTCATTGTGAAAAGAATGAGTAAATTTTTAGTACTGCCCAACATTTTTTGAAAGTTGTTTCAAAGGCAATCTCTCTTAGTATTAAGATCGTAGAAGGGTTTGAGGCTAGCCCGAGTTTTCTTTTATCTCTATTTTGTGAGACTGTTAGGTCAGCCCTCACTGGGTTTTTTTTTCCTCTTCTATCATTACTCAGGCAGTTCTACCCCAACCCTGGGCTTGTGGCATTAAGCATGCGCCGGGTAAGGAGGCTGGCTGGGTAGTGCATTCTCAGAGGAGTCAGGTGATTGTTGTTGGAAGGCAGTTACTGTCCCCTCGCTTTTGCCTCAGGACAGCTGGTTATTTATCAGACTCCTAAGAAGTCTTCCTCGCCTGCTGATAGAGCAGAGAGATTATGCAGCGGGCTTTTGGTTGATCCAATGGGAATTGCATTGATCTGGTGTCTGGCCTTGGTTCTTATCAAGTGGATCACCTCTAAGGTAGGCTATCTTTATTTTTTAGGATTGTGACAGTAATCCTTGGTTTACATATTTGATAGGAATGAAATAGCTGGACGAGTTTTCCTCTCTTTTTGCCTTGGTTTTCATTTCTGTGATTAAAAGAGCTATGAGTTTTTTCTGTCAAACCGAAAGGCTTAAAATTAGTACTTATAATTTTTATATTCTTATCTGACGTTTTTCCTCCGTAAGGGCTTTTTATGGCATCATTCCTTAGTATCGTTCCCTTAAAGAAGATCTTATATTTAAAAAAGTTTAACTTTTAACATTATAAAATTAAACAGTTTAGATTTTGGTGTACATATTTTAAAGATTCTCTTTTGGAGAAAAAGAATTTAATAATGTGTGTATATTTAAAGTATAATTATTGAGGATTTCTAAACAATTATAAACTTAAAAACTAAAAAGCACCTTCTTTGCTTCTATGCTTCTATCATGTTCTTTCTTAAGGTTTTGCTGCTGTTAAAATATATGCCTTAGCTATAATATATTGATATAAATGTAAGACCATATATAGATATATGTTGTTTTCGAAGCTGAATTCTAAACGTCAGGCTTGAGAAATTCTTGATAGAATGCTAACTACCCATTTGCCGTCTGGACAAGGATCTAACTCTAAAGTAAGAAGGATATAAGATTATACTATTTGAAATTATTTTTTCTATATATCTATTAAAATGATTATGTCTTTGATCCACCAGGCAGCCTTTTGCTTTCTGTATTAAGAAACTGAAGGGTATTAACTTAAAACTTATAAGGCCATCACTATTTACTAGGCAACACAAAGCTTGTATAAAGTTAATTTTCTTCCTCAAGCAAGATTTTAATTCCTGCTATGTAGTCTCTCACATTTAAGCATACTGTTTGAAGCATAATTGACTCTTTCTTGAAGCGGTCCTCTTTTCTTAGTGAATATGATTGAAGAAATCTCTTAAAGAAAAACAATGTACTCAAATAAAAAAAAAAACCCTTGTGTTTTAAAAGTTAAGAATTAATTTTGTTGCACTGACAGCTATTTACTTGTTTTTAAAGGATTGGCTTGCTAAGTTATTGAATGAAGGTCAAGTTAATATTAATAATGCGTTAGTTGTGTTGTGGATGTTTTCAGAGACTTTACTTTTTTAATGACCACCAAAAACTAAAATTAAGTTTTTAAACAAAAAGAATGCTAATATTTTATGTTAAAAAATTTTAAAGAGGGAAGAAGAATAGGGAGGATACTGTTTGGTGGATCAATGCAATATGTGAATATGTTAGACGCTCAAACACAAGCGTGTTTGTCTAGCATATGTAAGATGAATGTGCTTTGAAAAAGCTCATTTTGCTATATCAGAGATAACTGGTTTCAGAACTTGGGCTGGGCTTCATCTTTTGCTATGTTACAATGTTTTGGTAATATTGCCAAAAATTTTATTTAGTGTTACTGTGTTTAAGCCCTTTAACCGTCAGTTTACTAATCTGCAAAATGGGACTAATAAAGCCTACCTTATAGAGATCTTGTGTAGGTTAAGTGAGATTTTATGTGAAAGCACTTGGAACGTTTTCTGGCACGAAGTAGGAGCACAGCAAGTGTTGGTTAATATATTATTACTTTTACCGTGTAAGGGAAATACACTTGCTTTTGCTCGATAAATCATTTAGTGGAAAACTTGAATAAAATAAAAACAATGGCTCTTAAAATATCTTTGCTGGTTTTTAAAACATGTCTATCTTTAAAAGTTATGTATTAACTAATATTGGGAACAACTTTTACACGTTTTGTCATTAACCTTCAAGTCGGATCTTTTGTGGAAGAATGATTCACGCTGATTCAAGGTGAGTGCCTTCTCACCAGGGAAGCAGAGCTCCTGCTAGCGTGGCAGTGGGTCCTTTGGAGCCTTACAGTTTAACTTGTTTGTGCTGTGGCTGTCAGTTTCTGATTAGCTCAGCCTCGCCCATGTTTTGACCTATACTCGTTTGCTTTACAAGCTGTTCCCAGGATGGCTAAATTAGAAGAGTCACGAGTAGAAGCTTCTCAGTTATTTCCATTCACTGGTGAGGTGAGGTGGGAATGTGGGTGATAGCTCAGAGTTTTTTTATGACTGACAGTGTGACACAAGATTTCGATGAAATTTGTTTTGCTATTTTTATTAAAAATGAAGTTCTTGTGTATGGTTTTTAAAATGATAATCCTTAAAGAAAGATATGTGTTCAGCAGTCTTGGTGTGTAAAGTACATATAATTATTTTTTTTAAACATGATTCTAAGATGGAAGTCAAATTTTTATTATTTGAATTCATAATTTATAGTGTGTTGTTCCAAAATGAGTTATTTTAAATTTATCATAACTAGATTGCTTAGTGAGAGAACTTAATAATATTCATTTTAATCTGAATTCTTGAGGTAGATGAATAAACTATCACTCAGGATATATTTGTTGATGGGTTCCAATATATTGAAATCATTAAAAAAGTTTTCATCTCATTTGGATTTATTTTATAAAAGATATGTCTTGTAGTTCAGTATTGCATTTAAGCTAGTATTTGTGACCCGGCCTTACTTAAATTGTTAAATTAGTACTCTATAATGAATAGAATAACTTGAATATTTTACACATCCCTAATTAATATGTTAATACAGATTTAAGATTAAATTCTACCTCTGTTGCTTAACAAATTAAGATTAATATAGACCCTATATTTTAATATCTAAATTTTAATATCTAAATTCGTGCTTCTATAAATGAGTCTAAAGTAATTACCTTAAAATAGAGTATGCCATAGTGTAACCCAGATTGTGTTCATTACCCAGTTTTTGATTTAATATTATTTTATTAACAGAGAGCTGATATTAGTCAGCATTTTGCCATCCTTAATATGTGACATGATAAATGAGATTTTACCTTTCTAATTAGTGCCTCTTTTAGTAAAAAAAAATAAAAATAAAAATAATGATAGTGCCAACCACCCTCCTAAAGAGGGCTGTTAGAGATAACAGCTTAAAATGTGTTTTAACAAGCTATTTATCCAAGTCATTACTGGACACTAACAGATTGATAGGTATTGACCATGACAAACTGTTACATAATGATATCTGTAGTTTCATTAATATGCTTGAGGTGATAGAAATACCTATTGATACAGGTTACCAGGTTTACCCCTAGAATGGTAGTATTAAGGGAAGGACTGTAATCTAATAAGCTAAATATCTTGGGGAGGGGGTTGGCACAGCAGATGTGAGTGGTGCCTTTTAATACCAAGTGACTGATTGCTCCAGAATAAATAGTTTACCATGAAACACTGCAGGAAGCTTCCCTAGCACATTCTGTCGATGGAAGGTACTTCAAGCACGATGCCGTATGATTTGGTCCCTTGGGTTTTAAGGTCATGCTTGTCTTTCTAGATTTCTTTGTAGTCGATTGATACTTTACTTTTTAATTTCAGTTTTATTTATTTTGTGAATATATAATAACTATGCACACTACACAATTAAAAAGGTCAGAGATATACATTGAAGAGCCCCCCTTTGACCTCTGTGTCAGTCAGCCTCCTTGAAGACAACCAATGTTGACAGTTAGAATTTTATTTTTGTTGGAAGTTTTTGTTCCTCTTATTTTTCATGAACTGTTTTTTTTTTTTAGGGATACATGAACTTGTATAAGGTTTTAATTGATATTTTCCTCTTAAATGGTAAGCATTAAGGATATAATTAATGTTTTGTCAAGTTGTTTTGCATACTAAATCCTAGTGAAGGCTTTAAATAAAGTAAATTTTGTTTATAATAGTAGTAAAAAATTTGTTTTTCCTTGAGATTTGTATGTCTACGTTGAGGGCTTGTAAATTTCATGCCAGAGTTTTGTGGGAGAAGAAGGAGATCATTAGTCTGATGTGTAAAAATGGGATCCCATTGCTTTAAAGTGTATTTCTTTTGTTAATGAAGTCTAGCATTTTTACCTGTGTTTATTGGGATATTTTTCGTGCAAATAGTGTGTTTATTTTCTGCCTGTTTTTCTACTATATTGTTCATTTTTCCAACTGATTCGTAAGATACTTTAAAAAAATTCTTTTTAGATATAGTAGAGAAAGATTAGCTCTTTGTCATATCTGTTGAACTCACTTCTCTTGGCTTGAGGTTTGCCTTTTGCCTTTATTTATGATATATTTTACCATCATAATTTAACTTTTGGCCAGGTGTGGTGGCTGACGCCTGTAATCTCAGCACTTTGGGAGATGGAGGCAGGAGGATCACTTGAGGACAAGAGTTTGAGACCAGCCTGGGCAGCATAGTGAGACCCTGCTTCTAAAAAAAAAAAAATGAGGGGAAAAAAATTAGCTGGGTGTGGTGACACACACTTATGGTCCCAGCTACTTGAGTGGCTGAGGCAGGGGGATCACTGGAGCCCAGGAGTTTGAGGCTCACTGAGCCCAGTGAGCTATGATTGTGCCACTGCACTCCAGTGAGAAAGACCTCGTCTTTTTTTTTTTTAATTAACTTTTAATTGGATTATTTGATTTTTTTTTCCTATTGAGTTTTTGGAGTTCCTTATATATTCCAGTTATTAATCCCTTGTCAAGGGAGTCGTTTGCATATATGTTCTCCCATTTTGTGAGTTGTCTCTTGACTTTGTTGATTGTTACCTTTGCTATGCAGAAGCTTTTTAGCTTGATGTGATCCCATTTGTCCAATTTTGCTTTGGTTGCCTGAGTTTCAAGGATATTACTCAAGAAATCCTTGCCCAGACCAATGTCCCAAAGCATTTCCCCAATCTTTTCTTTTAGTAGTTTTATAGTTTCAGGTCTTAGATTTAAGTCTTTAATCCATTTTGATTTGATTTTTGTATGTGGCAAGCGATGAGGGTCTAGTTTCATTCTTCTACATATGGATATCCAGTTTTCCCAGCACCATTTATTGAAGAGACTGTCCTTTCCCCATTTCATGTTCTTGACAGCTCTGGCAACTTTGGGTTGAAGATAAGTTCACTATAGATGTGTGGATTTATTTCTGGGTTCTCCATCTGTTCCGTTGGTTTATATGTCTGTTTTTATGGCACTACCATGCTGCTTTGTATTATAATTTAAGTCAGGTAATGTGATTACTCCAGTTTTGTTCTTTTTGCTCAGGATGGCTTTGGCCATTCTGGGTCTTTTTGTGGTTCCATATAAATTTTAGGATTATTTTTTTCTATTTCTGTGAAGAATGTCATTGGTATTTTGATGGGGATTGCATTGCATCTGTAGATTGCTTTAGGTAGTATGGACATTTTAACAATACTGATTCTTCCGATCCATGAGCATGGAATATCTTTCCATTTTTTTGTGTCCTTTTCACCTTTCATCAGTGTTTTATAGTTTTCATTATAGAGATCTTTCACTTCTTTGGTTAAGTTTATTCTTAGGTATTTTATTTTATTTGTAGCTATTGTAAATGGAACTAATTTCTATGTTTCTTTTTCAGATTGTTTTGGAGTAGGAAGAGAATAATGTAGTTTTATGTTTTTCCAGATAGCAATCACTTAGTCTAACATTTTTTATTAAATAATCAATATTCCCCCACAGATTTTAAGTCCTATATTTATTATATATAAAATTACTATATATTCTCGAATTTGTTTCTAGATTCCCTATTGACTATTTTCTCTATTTCTTTGCAGTACAACACTATTTTATTAATATCTTATTATGCTAGTTCCATTTATTACTACTTTTTAAGAATTTTTTTGCCTATTAATTCAACTAATTTTATAGGTCACTTTTTTTTTTTTTTTTGAGACAAGAGTCTTACTGTTGCCTGGGCTAGAGTGCCGTGGCTTCAGCCTAGCTCACAGCAACCTCAAACTCCTGGATTCAAGCAATCCTCCTGCCTCAGCCTCCCAGAGTGCTAGGATTACAGGCGTGAGCCACCACACCTGGCCTAGATCACTTTCCATGTGCTAGGCACTGTTCTAAATGTTGAAATTTATTCAAAATATGGGGCTACAGCAGTGAACAAAGTCCCTGACTCCACAGAGCTTAGATTCTGATAGAAGGTTTGATCAATTTTATCTTCCAGATTTTTAAATCTACCTTCATTTATGTCAATTCTATTAGCCATTAATTTATTCATCAATTTATTTACAAATTATTATTCATTAATTTATTAGTAGTAAGAGCATTCAGTCATTTATTTATCAAATATTTATTTAGAATTTACTAAACATTAGGTCCTATTTTAGGGGCTGAGTGTGCAGTGGTGACGAAAACAAGGTGCCTGCCCTTGTGGAGCTTTTGTTTTAGTAACAAACAAACAGGGTAACATCAGCTAAGTGCTGCACAGAGGACTGAGACAGGGAGCTGCGGAAGAGGGAGGCTTTCAGGTGCCGTTTGTGGTCAGGGGATGCCTGTCTGAAGAGATGACATCTGGTCTAGGACCTGAGAGATAAGAAGGGAATAGTGACAAATGATCCAGGATGAGGAACAGCAAGTGGGAAGGCCGTGCATCTGGTGTGGTTGACGAAAAGCAAAGAGGCCAGCGTCGCAGCATCACAGCGGATGGGGGAGGTGGTGGGACCAGAGGACAGAGCGATAGGCAAGTCACAGAGGACGTTGGAAATTGGAGCTTGGAACTTGAAATTTATTCTGGGTGTGGTGGGGAGCCATTGGAGGATTTTGAACAGGAGCTGTCATGCTCATTCTTGCTTTTATGTGAAGAGTGGATTGTGAGCCAAGAGCTGCAACAGGAGAACAGTGGCTTGTCCTTTTCTTCCCCTTTCCCCTTGGCAACTCCTATTAATCCCTCATCAGTCAACTCGAGGGTCACCCCAAAAACCTTTCTGACTGACTTAGATTAAATTTCTACCTACTGCATGCTCCTCATTTTGTATCCACTTTAATGGTAGTTCTTAACCATCTTGTATTACAATTATTTGTCTCCCCCAATCCCCACTAGAGATTTCAAGAGCAGGTACCGTATCTAATTTCACTTTGTATATCCAACTTCTCTTGCACAATGCTGCACAAATAAAAAATAATAAGGTTTGTTGAATTGAATTTTATATCACAATTATTTGTCGTGTATTAAAATGTGTGTATTTTTTTTTCTAGAGGCGTGGAGCTATTTCCTATGACAGTTCTGATCAGACTGCATTGTACATTCGTATGCTGGGTAAGCATTATTATTATGTACGAGTATCAATATCATATATTGTTACTTGAGGTTGAGGTGTCTTTCATTAGGTAGCCTTTCATGACTGTTTGTAGCAGGTATAATCGATCACATTGACGTTGAATGTGGTGGGAATAAAGAGAGGCATTTTAGAGTTATAGGTGACTGAGTAATCTCTGGCTTAATAACTGGGAGTCTGTCATTAGTACACAATTTTAAGTTTCATTTTGAACATTCTTCGTAGAAAATTTGATTTGTAGAGTTGCTGAATGCTTGAAGAGATGAATGCCAAATGGACAAAGATGAGGTCATGAAATGCTGGATCTGATAGACCCATCGTTGGGTGTATTTTGTTTTTAGTTGGCTGACAAGGAAGACCATTTGTCTTCTTCTAGTCTTGGTGCTTAAATTTTTGATATATTACTCAATTGCACAAGGTAAAATGAATTTAGATGGATGTGTATGTTTATACGTGTTATTTTCTTTCTCTCCTTTCTGTGAGAGATTTATCTCTTCATCGCATACTCCTTAATCTGTTGCACTTTAATTCATACATTAAAAATGCACTGTTAAGAATCCAGTAGGCAACTTTACTCATCTTTCTTAGAGAAGTCTCCCAGGACTCTTCTCTTTGTCCTCGGAATTCCTCCCCCAACTTTATGAAACTGAGCCATCCTTATTCTTTACCTACTTAGGTTTTTCTTTGTCTCCTTCACTAATTCCTTTTCATACTCTTAAACCTAAATGTTTCCCAAGGTTCTGTTTTTGCTCTTATTCCTTTTCTTCCTCTTTAATTTACCTCTTGCATCTTATCTGCCTCAGTTCTATTCTATTCTATTCCACATTTTCCCTCACAAACGTTCAGCCTCTTCCTCTTTGCTGTCTTCATCTGTCTCTATCAACATGTTCAGGGTTCCACTGTCCTGAAAACAGAGCTTTAGATTCATATTTTTTTAACTCTGTAGAACATCTCCACATGGGTGTATTATGGATACCTCAAACTTAACATGGCTAAAACAAAAGATTTGTGTTCCCCATGTCTGTTCATTTTGTAGTCTTTTGCCATCTCAGTAAATGTAATTCCATTCTTCCAGCTGTCAGACCAGAAGACTCGGAGTCTTTTTTTTCTTTTTCTTTTTTTTTTGAGACAGGGTCTCTCTCTGTCACCCAGGCTAGAGTACAGTGGTGTCATAGCTCACTCAAACTCCTGGGTTCAAACGATCCTCCTGCCTCAGCCTCCTGAGTAGCTGGGACTACAGGCATGTGACCCCACACTCGACTGATTTTTTGCAGAGATGGGATCTCGTTATGTTGCTCAGGCTGGTCTTGAACTTTTGGCCTCAAGTGATCCTCCCATCTTGGCCACCTAAAGTGCTGGGATTACAGGCCACTGTGCCTGGCCAATTTTTGACTCCTATTTCATACACACTCCATGTTGAATTCATCAGCAGTGGTCGATACCTTCAAAATACATGCAGAATCTCACTACCCCAATGCTTACCCCGCTACCTAAGCTACAGTTACTGCCTCGTCTATCATACTCGCTCTGTAACTGGTGACCCTGTGTCTACTTGCCTGCCTCGACTCAATTCTAGCCCACACAGCCAGAGTGAACCTTTTCAGACGTAAGTCATCTCACTCCTCTGTTCAGAAACCTCTGATGGCCAAAGGTCCAACATGATCTGGCCCCACTGCCTCTCTGCCTCAACCCCACCAGTTCCCCTCACTCGCCTCGTTCCTGCCACATGGGCCCCTGCTTGACCTTGACCATGCCAAGCATACCGCCATCTCAGGGTGTTTACACTTGCTCTTCCTCATGCCTGGAAACCTCTCCCTCCTGATAGCCACAAGGCACACTGCCTCCCTTGCTTCAGGTCCCTGCCCAGATGTCTCCTTTCCAGTGAGGCTGTCCCAGGCCACACCACTGAGTCACCCTCCTGCTCCCTCCTCCCTATTCTTCACCTTGCTTTAGTTTTCTCCATGTAACTTGTCATCTTCCATGGAATGAAATTATGTGTTTACTTTGTTATATGTGTCATCCCACAAAAAGATAAGCTTCACGAGGACCAGGACTTTATGTATTTCGCTCACTGCTATATTTCAGTGCTCAGTAAACATTTGTTGCCACGTGAAGGAATCATCACGTGAAAGAGGTGATTAATCATTGTGGGATGGCATGATGGCAGATGAAATGAGCCTTGGAGGAAATGACGGTTTTACTTAGAGAAACAAAGAATAAGAAGGAGAGCCTTCTAGGCAAGCAGAAGTGGAAGAGCACAGGGTTAGGGGCCGAAGACTTAAAGGATATGAACTTGGAGGCTGTGAAGTGTAGTGGGGAAAGTCCTGTCTTTGGAACCCGTGGAGCTAGGTTTGAGCCCTGGCTCACCCTTTGCACTAGCTTCGTGGGATGGGGTGTGCTATTTAACTTCTCCAAGTCCAGTTTTTGCATCTGTAAAATGGGGATTAAGATTCCTATCTCTTGAGGTTATTTATTAAATAAAATAATGCCTGTAAGGCACAAAGAGAGTGCCTGCTACATGGTTGCTATGGTTATGTTGCTGTATAGAGAAATAAATCTAAAAGTCGTGGGTACGTGTAGGAACAGCGCAGCTTATAAAGATCAAAGTTTAACACCCAGTTAAGGCCTTGTGTGTCCACCCACTGTCCATGAGAAGAGAAGATTAATCAAATAGACTTAAAGCGAAGTCCTTAACATTTTAATTTTTTACACATTTATGAAATTGTAAATTGCTTGAGAATAGGTAATGTATTTTATATTTTTCAAATCCCTTTTAGCCCATAGTATAGTACTAGGCACAGAATAGACACTTAATAAATATTTTCTTCTTGCTGTGGCTTTTGAAAATTTTATATGAAAGATTTTCTATTCCCTGTAAAACAGATTTTGTTTTCCAGTGGCCTTTTTTTTTTAAAAAAAACTTCCTGGTGAATAATAAGATGTTAGGTTGGATTATCATATACTTACATCACCTTTCAGAAGGCTAACTTTAAACTGTAGATTATAATTATTATTATTGTAGGGGTAGATGGAAAAAAATCCTCATGCATTATTATATAATTATAATATAACTATATAATAGTTATAACTCACTATTGAAATTTTGTGGACTTCTTCAAATAAATCTGCTCTTAACTGCATGTTCCATATATATCGTTAGTGCGCCATTGCTGACGAATATGATACCACGTGGACCTTTTTTTCATATAGAAGGTTCTTGACAATCTTCTAAACTTACATTTTATTCTTGATTCTGTCCAGGAGATGTTCGCGTGAGGAGCCGAGCAGGATTTGAATCAGAAAGAAGAGGTTCTCATCCGTATATCGATTTTCGTATTTTCCACTGTAAGTGTTGGCAGACAGAATGTTTCTCTCAGACTTTCACTAAACTTCAGCTCTTCACAAAATTACATAGTTTTCCAAGGGAAAAAGAATATAAGAAAAGACTTAATTATGTTTGGAATGTTTTAAAAATACTAGGTCATGTTAAATGACGTTGTTTCTAGATAATGTTAGTAAATGTTTAGAGACAGAAGAGGAAAGTATTAAAACATGAAAGTTAATATAGCTTTTCTCCTCCTTTGTAATTTAAATTTGAAAGTACTTTGCTACAATCTTTTTCTTCTTTAAAAATATATTTTTTTAAAAAATTGTTTGATTCCAAATGGTTTATCTTCATTACTTCAGACAAAATGTTTTTGTGCAGATGATATTTTATAAAGGCATTTCAACAGTTTAACAAGATGTTATCCTTTACATTTATTTGAAAATAGACATCACCTTTAAAGATGTTTGGTAGAATGCATATTTTAAAAACAAGCATTCTAGGTGGGCCTGGCCTATAATGGAGGTAATGGGAAAAATGAGAACTTTTAAACTCTTTAAATATGAAATACATTAAATCTGTTTTTGGAGGAGTTCTACTTTCAGTAATGTTACGTAACTAACCAAATGAGAAAAATTAGATAACATATAAAATACATGTATTTGAATGTATCAGAATACTATTAGTATTAAGGCAGAGAAATGAGCCTAGCATTTCAGTCCATTTTTCCCCTTAGTGGCATGTGCTGATTCTGGAAAAGGTAGATGAGAAACTGAAGCTTTTTATGGACACTTAAGGCTAGAGTAACAAAAACGGGTGTTTAGAACCCACCAAGGTTGGGAGGTTGCTACTGGTAAACCCTCTTGGCTAAGGTTGGAACCCCAAAGTGCTACACCTTATGAACAAATCCCGGCTTTGAAATATCTCAGTGATTACATTAAGGTGATCTGTGACTGTTGTGCCTCTAGCCACCTGCAGGAGAGAGATGTTTCTCCTCCCTCGAGGTTGCCAGCTACAAACACAGCCCTGGGAAATGGCTCAAGTAAAGACTGGTCAGGGCTTTGCATTCTTGGCACACTCGGTAAGATGTACAGGCATACTCGGGGGCTCTGTGGAAGATTACCTCTCCCAGTATTAACAAATGACCTCAACACTTACTGACACAAGACAACCACCTTTTCTTATGCTCATGACTCTGAGAGTCAGGAATTCAGTCAGGATATGTCAGGTTTGGCTGTCTGTGCTCTACAGTGTCTTGGTCTTCCATTGGGATGGATGAAACAGCTAGAAGTGGCTGGGATGGCTCTATTGGCTCTGTAAGTCCAGGACCTTGGTTCTTCTCATGTCATCTGCTGGGGTTGGAACCCCCAAGATGGCTTCTGCACTCTTAGGTCTGGTGCCAGCCCTGGGAAGGCTGACATTTGTAGGGGGGCGAGCATTTCTCTCTCTCCATAAGTGGCAATCTTAAGGAAGTCTTAGGGTGGTTGGACTTCTTACATGGCAGCTGCCTTCTCCCAGAGCAGGCATTTCAAGAGAGAGGGAGTGTGGGAACTCCTAGTCTCGAAGGTCTGGGCCCAGACCCTGGCACAATATCACATTTCCATATTCTGTTGGGGAGAGGACATAGACCTCAATTGTCAAAGAGAGTAAGGTCAAAATTTTCAGTCTTCCATCTTTAATCTGGTATAAAATATGTTGAAAAAGTAATTAGGGTCCCAGCAGGAGAGGAGAGGGAGAATGTAGCAGAAGCAGTTTTTGAAGAGATAATGGCAGAGAAATCTCTAGAAGTTCATAAAAGACATTGAGGCAAAGATTCAGGAAGCATTAAAAATCTCAAGCAGAGTAACATTAAAAGAAAATCATACCTAAGTGTACCATAGTATAACTGTGAAAACCAAAATCAGAGAGAAAACATTAAAAGTCATGAGAGAGAGAGAGAGGGAGAGAGGAAAAAGTATTAAATGTGAAGGAGCCATATGAGATTGCCAGAAAGAGTTTTCATTGTCAACAGAAACCAAGAAGTTAAGAGACCAAGGAAGGATAGCTCTGATATGCTAGAAAAAATAAATAATTGCCACACTAAAATTTCATTCACATACTCTTGTAGAGAATAGGGGGGAAAAGGACATACTTTATATTAATAATTTATTTTGTAAGACCAGTATAATTTTTATATTACAACCTGACAAG